TCTTACTGGTCGTCTGTTAGCATGTAGCTCTTACTGGTCGTCTGTTAGCATGTAGCTCTTACTGGTCGTCTGTTAGCATGTAGCTCCTGTTGGTGATCTGTTAACATATAGCAGCCTGTTGGTCGTCTGTTAGCATGTAGCTCTTACTGGTCGTCTGTTAGCATGTAGCTCTTACTGGTCGTCTGTTAGCATGTAGCTCTTACTGGTCGTCTGTTAGCATGTAGCCTCCTGTTGGTGATCTGTTAGCATGTAGCTCCTGCCGGTTGTCTAACTTGTGTGTTGCTGTCTTCAGTCCCTGTCGCCTCAGGATCGAGCCATCTATAAGGAGTTCTCGTCCTCGGTGAGTACAGCTGGGTCCAGACCTGAGCTGGGTCGGGCTGGTTCTGGTGGTTTCTGAGGTATCTGGTCTAACTTAATTCTAATTCTGTGTGTACCTGTCAGAAACGTCGCAGCACCACGAAGGTCCGCAGCAGCCCTGTCACTAAACTGCGTGTTGCTGCCAAGGGGAAAGCGGTGGGAACCAGAGCAGTGACACCTGGGGTCAGCGTGGGAAAAAAGGCCATGGCGTATCGGGCCAAGGTAAGACAAGCCCCCACCTCTGAGCAGGGCACTGAGGGCTGCAGGTGCTAACGCTGCACCTGTCTGTGTCCTCCAGCAGGACATGTCCGACTCAGATGAGGACAAGAGCGATTCCACTGACTCTGATGAAGACGATGAGACATCAGGAAGCTCAGACAGTGAGGATGAAGATGAGGTGAGAGAGGATGTGGATATGAAACCACTTCCTGTTTGTGTCTGAAACCACTTCCTGTTTCCTCTCCTCAGAATGACGATGAGGATGAAGATCAGACGTCCTCTGAGGATTCCAGCGAGTTGGACTCAGATTAGCTCCACCCTCCTGTTGAAGTGGACAGGCTGTGCAGGCCACGCCTCCTCACATGTCAAACATAGAGGCAGTGAGGTGCAGAGTGGGCGTGGCCTGATCATTTTGTTACCTGACTTGTTTTTGTTGTTTTTCATAAGTTTGTTTTTACCTGACAGAGGCTTCAGTGGTCTTTTTTCCCAGTCCAAGTTCTGAGGGCGGGGCTTGTACAGTTTGACAGTCAGTGGGCGGAGCCAGTTGGTTTGTTACCTCTGAGGGAGGAGTCAGTGTTGGACCTCCGCAGAGACAAAATAAATGCACTTTTTCACACTTCCTGTCTGGTCTCCTGTTGATGACATCATCAGGACTCAGAAAATAAAGACCGAGTCGTTTCTGTTGTTTCAGATTTTATACATTTCAGAATAAATCAACTTCCTGTGTCGACAGCTGATACACAAATAAATTATCTCACCGTTCACCTCAGCCTTTGGCACGTGCTTCAAAACATTCATGCATTACCGTTACCATGGTTACCACAAGGTTATAAAACAGAGCCCGCCCCCAGTCCCTGTCAAAACTCAGCACGCACACACACACACACACACACGTTCTTCTATCCTCATGGGGACTTCATTGACTTCCATTCATTTACTGGTCATTTCTACAGCCTGACCCTAAACCTGACCCCACAGGTGCACACCTGACCCTGAACCTAACCTCTGACCCACCAATAGCATTTCCCTCAGTGGACCAGACTTTTGTCCCCATAAGGACAGTGGGTCCTCACCAGGCTGTGCTGGAAATGTGGATAAAAACTATCCCCACCAGGTAGTAAAAACGTGTGTAAACACACACACACACACACACACGGTCATAGTGGGACCTCCAGCAGCTTCTGGTGCAGGTACTGCTTCATCTCCTCGATGCCGTTCAGCTTCTGCAGCTCGTGGTACGGCAGCTGACGAGGGACAAAAGAAGACAGGAGATCAAACATCTTCATTTTTATTCTTTATGGATAATCTGATCATATCTTTATTTCTTCAAACAACAACATGCTGTCAAACCTGCTCGTTTACCATATGATCAACTAGAACACATTAGAAACAGGTTCTCCTGGAGAACATGGTGATGTTCTGATGATGATGAGGAGGAGGTCAGTGTGTTCACTGAACATATCTGACTCAGCATGGAGTGCACCACAGGGAGTGCACCACAGGGAGTGCACCACAGGGAGTGCACCACAGGGAGTGCACCACAGGGAGTGCTCTCGGCTCGGTTCAGGCTTGAGTAGCAGGAGGAGGAGGAGTTTATACTTGGTACTTATGTTCTTACAGTTGTCTCCATGAGGCAGAATACTTTGTGCTCCAGTTGTATCAGAATTTAAAATCCTGAAGTCGGACTGACGTCAGTTCTGAGCTGACAGAGTTCCAGTTTCAAACATCATAAAAAGCGTTTATTATTTTACTGTGCAACAATAAAACGTACAACAATAGTACTCTACGAGGTATTTTGAGTGTGTAAACAGTGTTAAAACATATATTTTAACTATCACTATAAAGCACTACAAGTACGTCTGACGTAATGTAAAATAAACAACACAGAAGCCGTGTTTGTTTACATGCAAGACTAGCAATGTTAGCGGTTAGCTCAGACAAGCATGTTAGTACGCTACATACATTAAATAAATATAAAAAAGGAAAATAAACAAATTACACTCGTTTTTATTCTGCCTCCTCTCTTCTTACGTTCTGTCTGTTGAATAATGGGGACGGTGCTCGTGTACGTTTGATTACAGCTCAACATTACCCGTTAGCTTAGAGAAACATGCGCGCAGCAGCCATGTTGAAATGATGATGTAATGCATGCTCGGGCTGCTCAGGTATGGTTTGGATGTGCCGACCTCCCGACTTGAAACTACGACTTCAGGGGCGTTCCAGTTGAAAAACAGAACTGAGGCTCGAAGCTACGACCTGCGAGGACAACTGGAACTCAGCGTTTATCACTTGTGAAATGTTGTCGAACAGGAGAGTAAAATCATGACGAAATAAACTGACTGTTGCACAGTGCAGCCTTTGTACAAGGAGCTTGATCACATGAAGAGTTGGACACATCTGTTGATAATGGTGCTCTGAGCACAAATATTCAATATAAAGTTAGGTTTTACAGAGGAGGAGGGGATGTTTCCTCCCTCAGGAGGACTGCTGCTCCTGCTGACCCCTCCTCTCTGCTCTGATTGGATAAAGTTCTCTTGGTTTGTTTGGTTTGTTGAAAGTAACTTCCTGTTTGGAGCAGACTGGACAGCTTTAATAAGACCCAACAGAACACGTCCAGAGTTCTGTTAAACAGAACCTGTCCTGGTCCCAGTCAGAGGTACCAACATCTGTCGTGATGATGGACAACTGTAAGTCCTGTACTTTTAGCTGCTGGGAGTCCAAGACTGAATCCTGCCCTCTGATTGGTTCAGTTGAAGCTGACCTCAGTCACATGACTGAATCCTGCCCTCTGATTGGTTCAGTTGAAGCTGACCTCAGTCACATGACTGAATCCTGCCCTCTGATTGGTTTCTGTAGCTAAAGTTCTGTGAATGTGGACTCGTCTCTGTTTTTGTTTGAGACAGTTTGAAAACTGAATCATGTAGAATTTTTTATCTTCAAAGCAACATGGAGGAACATACGGTCCACCTCTGGTCACATGACACCTGGACTGACTCAGACCAGGACGTGACTGGGTCAGACCATGTCCCAGAACCAAACAGTACCTGTGTGTTTCTGGGACAGATCCACATGTGGACCCTGGTGCTGTAGCTGTGTGGTGTTCTGCAGGGGTCCAGTCTGGACTTGTGGACTAACCTGCAGGATGATGTAACCCAGAAGCCTCAGGTGTCGGTCCCTCATAGCCCTGGACCCGACCAGAACCTCAGAGTTGTGACAGTAGTGCCATTTGTCGTTGACGGACATGATGACCCTGCAGACACAACGACAGGTTTACAGCTGCAGCCAGGTTCTGCTGGGACCACAGAACCGGTCCGACCTGAGGCAGACTGACCTGTGGATCTGCCTGGACTTTGTCAGGAGGGTCTCAGGCTCGGCTCGGTCAGGAGGGTGGAGCTGTGTGGGTTCCTGGGGCCCCCTGTCAGCGCTGGACCCTTCATAGAACCCGGACAACTCATGGTCCGGCTCCTGGACCCTGGAGTCCCCGGCTGTCCCCTCGTCCTCCAGGATCTTCCCGAAGGAGAACTGGAACAGAGAGTCTGGGGCTACGGCCCCTGCAGGTCCCAGAGCCCCCAGCAGAGCTGGCCCATCAGAGGGGGAGCTGCTGAGTGTGGAACTGTCCTGGCTCTCCACAGACTGCTCCTTAGCCAGACCTGAGTAGTACTCTGGAGCAGGACCGTAGTACGGCTCGTAGTCCAGGCCCACATCGTTAGTCCTGGTCCTCACAGGACCAGAGGCTGCAGCTGCACTAGTACTGCAGCACATGTGGGTCCCACCCAGTCCCTCATCTCCCTGTCCAGTACTGAGTCCAGTACTGAGTCCAGACTGCTCGCTGCCGTCCTCCAGGACCGAGAACGGAGACAACTTCTGCAGCTCAGAGGTCACCACGGCAACAGCATCCTCATCTGGCTCAGTTTCCACGGCAACACAGGACGAAGGAGCCACGCTCAGAGGCAAACCTGCTCCAGACCTGATGGGCAGAACCCGACCAGAACCATCCAACCAGAGCACAAAATCTGCAGAGATAAGACCAGATAAGACCACCAGCAGGACAAAGACCAGAGGAATGGATCAGTTATTGTGTGGTACCAGCTGGTACTGTGTGTAGGTGTGTGTAGTACCTGTGTAGTACCCCGGGGCCAGCACCTCGCCCTGTTTGTAGTTCTGTTCTCCCACCAGCTGCCTCAGAGCCTCGGCCACCAGACCTTTATAACTGACACCACAGAACCAGTCAGAACCACCATGACACCCCTAACCCAGGGGTCTCCAACCTATTTTTCTTTAAGAACTACTTTCACAAAAATAAAATTGTCTGATAACTACCTTTTCAACAATTCTGCTAGACGCACCGCAACGCCCCTAGACGCACTGTGATTCCCCTAGACGCACCACAATGACCCTAGATGCACAGTGATTAGACGCACTGTGATTCCTCTAGACGCACTGTGATTCCTCTAGACGCACTGTGATTCCCCTAGATGCACTGTGATTCCCCTAGACGCACTGTGATTCCTCTAGACGCACTGTGATTCCCCTAGATGCACTGTGATTCCCCTAGACGCACAGTGATTCCTCTAGACGCACTGTGATTCCCCTAGACGCACTGTGATTCCTCTAGACGCACTGCGATTCCCCTAGACGCACCGTGATTCCCCTAGACGCACTGTGATTCCCCTAGACCCCATGTGATTCCCCTAGACGCACAGTGATTCCCCTAGACGCACTGCGATTCCCCTAGACGCACTGCGATTCCCCTAGACGCACCGTGATTCCCCTAGACGCACTGTGATTCCCCTAGATGCACTGTGATTCCCCTAGACGCACTGCGATTCCCCTAGACCCCATGTGATTCCCCTAGACGCACTGCGATTCCCCTAGACGCACAGTGATTCCCCTAGACGCACAGTGATTCCCCTAGACGCACCGTGATTCCCCTAGACGCACCGTGATTCCCCTAGAGGCACTGTGATTCCCCTAGACGCACCGTGATTCCTCTAGACGCACCGTGATTCCCCTAGACGCACTGTGATTCCCCTAGACGCACCGTGATTCCTCTAGACGCACCGTGATTCCCCTAGACGCACCGTGATTCCCCTAGACGCCCTGTGATTCCCCTAGACGCACCGTGATTCCTCTAGACGCACCATGATTCCTCTAGACACACTGTGATTCCCCTAGACGCACTGTGATTCCCCTAGATGCCCTGTGATTCCCCTAGACGCACTGCGATTCCCCTAGACGCACCGTGATTCCCCTAGACGCACCGTGATTCCCCTAGACGCACCGAGATTCCCCTAGACGCACCGCGATTCCCCTAGACGCACCGCGATTCCCCTAGATGCACTGTGATTCCCCTAGACGCACTGCGATTCCCCTAGACGCACCGCGATTCCCCTAGACGCACCGCGATTCCCCTAGATGCACTGTGATTCCCCTAGACGCACTGCGATTCCCCTAGACGCACCGTGATTCCCCTAGACGCACCGTGATTCCCCTAGACGCACCGAGATTCCCCTAGACGCACCGCGATTCCCCTAGACGCACCGCGATTCCCCTAGATGCACTGTGATTCCCCTAGACGCACTGCGATTCCCCTAGACGCACCGCGATTCCCCTAGACGCACTGTGATTCCCCTAGAAGCACTGCGATTCCCCTAGACGCACCATGATTCCCCTAGATGCACCGTGATTCCCCTAGATGCACTGCGATTCCCCTAGACGCACTGCAATTCCCCTAGACGCACTGCAATTCCCCTAGACGCACTGTGATTCCCCTAGACGCACTGCGATTCCCCTAGACGCACTGCGATTCCCCTAGACGCACCTTGATTCCCCTAGACACACCGTGATTCCCCTAGATGCACTGTGATTCCCCTAGACGCACTGCGATTCCCCTAGACGCACCGCAATTCCCCTAGTCGCACCGCGATTCCCCTAGAGCACCGTGATTCCCCTAGATGCACTGTGATTCCCCTAGACGCACCGTGACTAGATGCAGCGCGATTCCCCCAGACGCATCGTGATAGGAACAAGCACATATATATTATAAATTTTCAGAATAAGACACCATAAGGAGGAATAATTTTTAAATTCCAGCTATATTAATAGATATATGGATTTAATTCTACACAAATGCTGTCAGAATGTATGGTTCTGTTTGAGAAGCAGATGGCAACATGTAGCATGAAGCATATGTGTACACACACAATACACATGGATTTTATTTTGAAATCAGAAGTTACAAAGAGACAACAGCGATACAGTTTCAACTGTAGATATCAAAAGCTTTGATATCAATGTTATCAGTTGTTTGGAGTTTATCTTTCACAGAATTAATTATGTTTTGCTCAGATTTCTACATTTATCACTGGATTTATCAGGTGATCTCCTTCCTGCACACCCTCCCTCCTCTGTGGGGCGGAGCTGAGCAGAGCTCAGAATGAACCCTAGCTGAGTCCTGATGGAGCTGCTGATTAAAGCCAACATGTGCCCTCACCTCTGCTTACGGTTGACATCGTCCGCCGTCAGGGCGTGCTCAAACATCAGCACCTTGTGGACGTCCGGCAGGCGAGGTCCAGTGTAGTCCCTGTACTCCAGTTCTATGGCAACATCCAGCAGAGTCAGGTACCTCCTGACGATCAGAGCGTGGGGACTGTCTGAGGACAGAGCAGAGACCACAGAGGACAGAGGACGGGTTTGACTACAGGACTTCCTGTCTGTCACCAGTCAGTCTCCAGCCTGTCTCCACTTTGTCTCCAGTCTGTCTCCAGTCTGTCTTCTGTCTGTCACCAGTCTGTCTTCTGTCTGTCACCAGTCTGTCTTCTGTCTGTCTCCCGTCTGTCTCCATTTGTCTCTAGTCTGTCTTCTGTCTGTCTGTCTCCTATCTGTCTCCATTTGTCTCTAGTCTGTCTTCTGTCTGTCTGTCTCCTATCTGTCTCCATTTGTCTCTAGTCTGTCTTCTGTCTGTCTCCTGTCTGTCTCCAGCCAGTCTTCTGTCTGTCTCCTGTCTGTCTCCAGTCTGTCTTCTGTCTGTCTTCTGTCTGTCTCTAGTCTGTCTTCTGTCTGTCTCTAGTCTGTCTTCTGTCTGTCTCTAGTCTGTCTTCTGTCTGTCTCTAGTCTGTCTTCTGTCTGTCTCCAGCCTGTCTCCAGTTTGTCTCCAGCCTGTCTCCAGCCTGTCTCCAGTTTGTCTCCAGTCTGTCTCCAGTCTGTCTTCTGTCTGTCTCCTGTCTGTCTCCTGTCTGTCTCCAGTTTGTCTCCAGTCTGTCTTCTGTCTGTCTCCAGTCTGTCTCCTGTCTGTCTACAGCCTGTCTCCAGTTTGTCTCCAGTCGGTCTTCTGTCTGTCACCTGTCTGTCTTCTGTCTGTCACCAGTCTGTCTTCTGTCTGTCACCAATCTGTCTTCTGTCTGTCTCCAGTCTGTCACCTGTCTGTCTTCTGTCTGTCTCCAGTCTGTCTTCTGTCTGTCACCAGTCTGTCTTCTGTCTGTCTCCAGTCTGTCTCCTGTCTGTCTACAGCCTGTCTCCAGTTTGTCTCCAGTCGGTCTTCTGTCTGTCACCTGTCTGTCTTCTGTCTGTCACCAGTCTGTCTTCTGTCTGTCACCAATCTGTCTTCTGTCTGTCTCCAGTCTGTCACCTGTCTGTCTTCTGTCTGTCTCCAGTCTGTCTTCTGTCTGTCACCAGTCTGTCTTCTGTCTGTCACCAGTCTGTCTTCTGTCTGTCACCAGTCTGTCTTCTGTCTGTCACCAGTCTGTCTTCTGTCTGTCACCAGTCTGTCTTCTGTCTGTCACCAGTCTGTCTCCAGTCTGTCTCCTGTCTGTCTCCTGTCTGTCTCCAGTCAGTCTCCAGCCTGTCTTCAGTCTGTCTCCAGTCTGTCTCTAGTCTGTCTCTAGTCTGTCTCCAGTCTGTCTCTAGTTTGTCTCCTGTCTGTCTCCAGCCTGTCTCCAGCCTGTCTTCAGTCTGTCACCAGTCTCTCTTCAGTCTGTCTCCAGTCTGTCTCCAGCCTGTCTCTAGTCTGTCTCCAGTCTGTCTCTAGTTTGTCTCCTGTCTGTCTCCAGCCTGTCTTCAGTCTGTCTCCAGTCTGTCTCCAGCCTGTCTCTAGTCTGTCTCTAGTCTGTCTCTAGTCTGTCTCCAGTCTGTCTCCAGTCTGTCTCCAGTCTGTCTCTAGCCTGTCTATAGTCTGTCTCCTGTCTGTCTCCTGTCCATGCAGATGGAGGACACTCACTGATCACATTACTGATGAAGGCCGAGGAGAAGACGCTGTGCAGGACGGTCTTGGGGAAATGTCCCAGCTGGAACAGGGACATCAGGATGTTGACGGTGGCGAGCGGCGATCTGAGCGCCTTCATCTCCACCACCTCCTCCAGGCGAGTGAAGAAGTCCTCGCTGGATGGACGGTAACTCATTCTGCTGAACGGGAGCACCAGCTTCTGGATCACCTGAGGACACAGAACCAGAGACACCTGCAGTGTCAGACCACAGGCCCCGCCCACACCCTTCTCACACAACCCTCACCTTGCTGTCCAGGTACTCCGCCTTCTTCACCAGAAAGTCTGCGATGGTGTCCAGCAGGCGTGTCTCTCTGAGCCGATGGCGGGCGATGTATTTGGCTATCAGAGCCATGGTGTACGGCGTGATGCTGTCCACTTTCTTTGGTAACTCCTCTGGTGGACAGGAACTAGCAGGTGTTAGGTCCCCTGGACAGACATGGTGTACCTGGTCCACAAGAGAGGCTTACCTGTCAGGCTGCTGATGAACCTCTCCTGTCTGTTCTGGTAGAACAGGTGAGAACTGAAGATCAGCTCCAGACTCTTGTTGCCGGCCTCACGAGCGCACACCGACAGCATCTCGTCCAGCAGCACCATCTCCTGGTCACGAGCACCACTGATGCTGGCCAGAGTGTGTTTGACCAGCCGCAGGATCTTCCTGAGGACAGAGAGAGACAGCAGCTTCCTGAGACCTGGAGTCCTCGGTTTCACAAAGAACCGGAGACCTCAGGAGCACCTGGATGTCTGAGAATATGGACTGTGTCCACATTAAGACTGGGTCCTCTGAGGGACATGAGCTGTGTCCACATTAAGACTGG